AACTGATTGATGAAGAAAAAAATTAATTCACGACCTCAACGAAGATCTTAAAAAAATTACTGCAAGAAATGAAGTTGTTGTTATTATATACCATATTGTACAATATTAAAACATACGCGCAATAATTATCTATAAGTTGCATATATGGGCGGTTATGTAATTATAAGTAATATTCAAATCATGACAAATTAATGTGGCCGCGTGTTATCTCTATCGCATCATTGCTAGAAATCGTCCGAACTCTCGAAATTATTTTCTTCTCGAATTATGAATATAAAACAATGTGGAAAGGAAAATAAGGGGGTGAAAGGGGAGATGGCGACGTCTGCCTTACGATAACATCGCTGCTGGCTCGCTTCGTCGCGATTGTCTATTCGCTGGTGGTGAGACAAAGACCGATTCTTCGTTTTTATCTAACTAATCTAGCTCGCTCGTGAACATAGCACAGAACAGAACCAAATAATTATGGACATAGAACGGAATAGTACCAACAAATCGTGGACATTGGCTTAGCAGTTCATGTCCATGAAAAATGGACCCAGTTGGCGCTGCGGATCAGCCAACTTTTCCATAACGCTGTAAATGCAGCCATGCCCGCTCTCAGGCTTCTCTCTGCTGTCAGAGAGAAACCTGAGAGCGGCCATTAACGAAGATTCAGAAATTTTTATGAATTCGACGCGCCCCCTGAAAAATACACGTCAACTACATCGATGTCACTCGGTAACGAAGTGTGTCTGTGATAGTTTGGTTCATATCTGAGCTACTACACAGAATATAGTAAAAATTATATATATATCATCAGGAGGAATCAACCCAGCAAATACAATGGCCCATATTCAGAACGTGCTAACATATACGCTTCTAAATACGCGAGATGTAGGTGCGTTTGTTAGCGCTCGTATGCAGAATGTAAGAACAGAGCACTATTACCTAAAGACGCAATGACAACCAATAAGAGTGCTCGTTTTCGAGCAGTATGTAGCTATTGGTCCTTTTCATATCGCGTAATGTGGATGTAGCAAGAGTACGAGATGCGCGTCGTCCAGCGATATTCAAATGTCCGTTGACGATTTTTGCGAAATGGAGTGCTCTGATATATTGTCAAATTGTGTATAGTAAGTTTATTTATTATATTATTTTACATTTCATTCTAATAATTTTGTTACATTGCTTATTTATTATTCATTGCTTGCTCTTAATAACGGATAATTTTAATAAATATACATGTTCGTATCTTTATAGATGAGCGACAAGAGAAGGGAAAATTTTCTGCCGAAGAAAAGAAAACAATAATTGATTTAAATTATTATTATTATTTAAATTATTATTATTATTTAAATTATTATTATTATTTAAATCATTATTATTATTTAAATTATTATTATTATTTAAATTATTATTATTATTTAAATTATTATTATTATTTCTTTAAATGTGACAGGAGCTGTTAGTGCGCTTATACATGACCCTGACCACTTTTATCGCACGCTGCTAAGATATCGATATGTTAGTGCGCTGTTACGACTTATTCGTGGTTCTGAATAGGGATTTTGCTCTAAACACGCGTGATTATCGATATGTCCTAATAAAATGCTGCTATCATCGCATTGAGAATATGTGTGCTAATAAGAACGCTGATATCTCGACTTGTTACCATGCTAATATCTTTGTTAGCGCGTTCTGAATATGGGCCAGTAGGCCTGTTCGTTTTGTCTGCACTGCTGAACTGCTGCAACAAGTTGAAGTGAGAAAACCTACGTTTGTCTCACTTTAACTTAATGCACCAGTTCAGCAATGCAGACAAAACGAACAGGCCTAATATTACATGTAACGTGCATGTTAGTTGTAATTTCCTACTTAACAATATAACTGTTATATAACACATGTGTTATATAATAGTTATGAACTAAGATCTTTATCAGTTTTCTTTCAGTATGTATAACAGTCAAGATATGATGAGCAAAATAATTATTCGATAGAATTGTAAATAAGATTATCGAATTTGAAATACCGAGCAGAACCCCTCTCTCGCTTATATGTACTGTTTCCTATATTTAAAGTAAATGAAAACTGCTTGTCTACTTCAAATATACTTCAACGTACAATTATAAAACTTTAAAATCAAATATCTCAAAAACTATAAGGGACCTCTATATAATTATATCAGGTGTAGTAAAAAGAAATCCATTATTTTTGCATGAAATTGAAAGCTTTAATTACCATAGTTAGAATGATCCGATTTAGATCAAATATGCGCCGTTTTGTTCGATAACTTGTTGCCATTTTGAAGGTAATTTCATTATGCCTCTCTCATAGAAGCCCTCGTCCCAATTGGCAAAAAATTGAGACAGTCGATTTTCACAAGCCTCTCTTGAAGCGAATTTTTCACCAACAAAATTGTTCGCCATGGACAGGAACAGATGGTAATCACTTGGTGCCAGGTCCGGACTATAAGGTGGATGCATAAGAACCTCCCAACCAAGCTCCCGGAGCTTCTGGCGAGTCACTATCGATATGTGTGGCCTGGCGTTGTCCTGATGGAACACAATTCCTCTCCTATTGGCCAAAGCTGGCCGCTTCTGGGCGATTGCTTCCTTCAGACGGTCCAATTGTTGACAGTACAGTTCCGAGTTAAGAGTTTTGCCGTAGGGGAGCAGCTCATAGTAGATCAGTGCCCGGAATTACTTGCACGATCGGGCCGATTTCTGAGAGCTACGCCTCTTTACTTCCCCTTACCGCTCCAGCCCGCACGGCGGACCTAGAAACTGACAGTCGCGAGGCGCTGTCTCAGGCACGTCACATGAGACAGTCATATGAGACGCTTCACAGTTTAACATAGCTGAAACAAATTTATTTATTAAAACAACTCCATAGGTATTTTTTATAGTTTACTAATATAATATAGTCTTAATATTAATATAAATATATATTAATAGAAATATTAATATAAGTAATATTCTTAATATAACTATAATATACACTGTATACACTGTAATATTCTTAATATAACTATAATATACAGTGTATATTATAGTTATATTAAGAATATTACTTATATTAATATTTCTATTAATATATATTTATATTAATATTAAGACTATTTTATATTAGTAAACTATAAAAAATGCCTATGGAGGTGTTTTAATAAATAAATTTGTTTCAGCTATGTTAAACTATGAAGCGTCTCATATGACTGTCTCATGTGACGTGCTTGAGACAGCGCCTCGCGGCTGTCAGTTTCTAGGTCCGCCGTGCGGGCTGGAGCGGTAAGGGGAAGTAAGGAGGCGTAGCTCTCAGAAATCGGCCTGATCGTGCAAGTAATTCCGGGCACTGTAGTAGATAATTCCCTGCCAATCCCACCAAATACACAGCAAAACCTTCCTGGCCGTCAATCCTGGCTTGGTCACCGTTTCCGCCGGCTCACTGCGATTCGACCACGACCGTTTTCGCTTGACGTTGTCGTAAATGATCCACTTTTCATCACCAGTGACCAACCGTTTCAGAAATGGGTCGATTTTGTTGCGATTCAGCAGCGATTCGCAGATGGAAATTCGGTCCATGAGGTTTTTTTTCGTTAACTCGTGTGGCACCCATACATCGAGCTTCTTTTTGTATCCAGCCTTATTCAAATGGTTTCAAACGGTTTTTTGTGCAATCTTTAGCTCTTGGGCAATCGAAACAGTGCTTACATGACGGTCGGACTCGACAATGTCCATGATTTTATCGATATTTTCGACAATTGGCCTTCCAGTGCGTGGTGCATCTTTGACATCGAAATTACCGGAACGGAATCGATGAAACCAAAATTACGCGTGATTGGCTGTTACAGTATCAGGACCATAAACACTATTTACATTTTCAGCCGCCTGGCTTGCGTTTTCGCCTTTATCGAAGAAAAACTGTAAAATATAGCGTATTTTCTCTTTGCTAGTGTCCATCTTTGACGCGTGCTCAAACAAAACTGAGTCAACTAATCACAAAACTGTCACAAAAGTTTTTTTAGTATGAAATCTCATCTTTCTAACGCCATCTAGTGGAACCCGATCGGACTTATACAATATGCGAGATACAGATAACTAAAGCCATCTATTGGAAAAATAATGGATTTCTTTTTACTACACCTGATATTTGTAAGCATACTGAAGCATTTTGTACAAAGTTGTAGGCACGTTGTTGGCACTATACAGGGTGTTAAATTTTAAACGTAACAGGTAAAAATCTTGAAAACTATGAAAGGTATAAAAAGAGCTAAAATATGTGTTTCATGATTTCGAAGGGGAAAGAGAATGGCATTATCAGTTTTTTATTTGGAGGGCATTTTGAAAGTCAACTTAATTTTTTTAAATAGAAAGCCCAATTTTTCATTATATCAGGTGTAGTAAAAAGAAATCCATTATTTTTCCAATAGATGGCTTTGCTGACAGCTCGAACTACAACGCGCGCCCGGAGGATCCAGTATTCGTTGCGCAACGATGCCAAAGTGCGCTGTGGTCCCGCGTGCAAAGTTCGAAGGTAATGGTGCTCGATCACTCGAGTGAGCAGCGAACTCTCAGCAGCACTGGGTGTTTGCCTCCGTCAGTCAATGGTGCGTTGTCCAATCTTCCCCCGACTCTTATAAGCCCATTCGAGTCGAGATAGGGGTGCAGACTCGAGATCGGACTGGATGAAGCGACTGGTTTTCTATGACGGAGAGAGTCGAACTCTGCACCGAAGGCGTCCTGCTGCATCCTCCGTAACCAGTAATGCTTGGCATATTCAATCTCCTTTGCTTGTAAACAGAACGGAGATGCCACGGACGCCGGGTCAGACCGATCAAGCGCGATCGGATGGGTGTCCGCATTGCGTTGATAAATCTCATCACAAAAGCCGTGACGCGTAGGAGCTTGGGATGAGAAGCGTGATTGTAGGTCCCATGTCTCCGTGTTGCTGACGATGTGCGTACAAGTGATCGGCTTTTCGTCGCGTTGTGCTTCATCCTCGTTCGCGACCCACATCTCTGGCTAATCGTCGGAATGGTTTTGGAGCCATCGAGGTCCGGACCACCACAGCTGGTGCGCTTTAATTGCTGTCGAGGATAGGCCGCGAGACGCACAGTCGGCCAGGTTATCACACGTGGGAACGTGTCGCCAACGTGTTCCGGCTGTCAAGGCTTGAATGTAAGCAACTCGGTTCACAACGAAGGTCTTCCAGCGACTTGGTGGCTGAGCGAGCAACGCCAGTACGATGGTAGAGTCCGTCCAACAGTAAGTCGGGCTGGCTTCGAGTTTGAGAGTTGTCGTCACCAGTCGAAGCAGCCTCGCTGACAGGACGGCGGTGCATAGTTCCAGTCTGGGTACACTAATCGTTTTAAGCGGAGCAACTCTGGATTTTGCAATCAGGAGCGTGACTGCCGACGAATCCAATTGCGGAATTGCGCGGAGATATATAGTCGCCGCATAAGCCCGCGTGGAGGCATCTGCGAAGGCATGCAGCTTGTAACTGCGTGGGCCCGGACGGAAACCAGTCCATCGAGGAACTATCAACTCTTCCAAGGCAGGCAGGTCCGCATGTATGCAGGCCCATTCGGTTTTAACCGACTCCGGAATGGTCTCGTCCCACCCGCACTTGAGTGCCCAGAGATGTTGCATAAGCATTTTGGCTTTCACCAACACCGGAGTAGCTAAGCCCAGAGGATCATAGAACCTTGATATTGTGAACTTTGGACAAGATCTGGAGTTTAGTGGTTCCGGGCTCTAGTGGAAGCGCCGTCCTAAACTGCAAGACATCCCGCCCGGAGTGCCAACAGATTCCAAGTACTTAGAGGGTATCGTCCGGAAGAAAATTCTTTCCACCTGCCAGCCCGTGGTTCTCCGGATCCACTCCGTCCAATAATTGAAGACGATTGCTCGCCCATTTTCTTAAGATGAATCCTCCGCAGCTTAGCAAGGCCGTTAATTGATTCCGGATTTTTGCCGCTAATTCTAGTGTGTCCGCACCGAATATACAATCATCTACGTACGTATTATGGCGCAACACTGGGACCGCTAATGGATAGCGAGCTCCTTCATCCTCCGTTAGCTGTTGAGGAACGCGAAGCGCGAGGAACGGAGCAGCGGTGGTCCCATACGTGACGGTGCGGAGCTGATATTCGGCAGTGGGTTCGGCCATGGTTGGTCTCCAAAGGATCCGCTGAATGTCGATGTCCCGGTCGTCCATCCTTATCTGTCAATACATTTTCTCAATATCCGTTGTCAGGACGACTCGATGTTGTCGCCAAGCTAATAGTATCGTGAACAGGTCGGTTTGCAATTTGGGACCGGCCGATAGAAAATGGTTGAGCGAGTAACCGGTGGTGGTTACGGCTGATGCGCTGAATACCACACGGAGTTTGGTAGTGACGCTGCTCTGCCGAAAGACCACATGGTATGGTATGTAATAGCGTTGACCGATGGAAGCAGCGTCATCCTGATCCTTTCGTGTCATGTGCTCGAGGTCTTCATATTCCTTCATGAAGGCGGTATAAGCGGTTTGTTTCTCGACGTCTGAACTTAGCCTGCGTTCCAGTCGCAAGAGACTAGCTGTCGCCATTGAGCGAGAGTTGCCAAGTTCCACCGGTTCGGCGGACTTGAAGGGAAGACGCAACGTAACAATGTAGCGACCTCCTCTCGTCCTTGTGTGGGTGGTTTTAAAGTGGTCCTCGCACTCCTTATCGTCCGGGCTAAGTTGACGACTGATTGGGATCTCCTCTATTTCCCAGAATTGTCGTAATCGCTGGTCAAGTGTTTCGAGCGTGGTGTGGAAGGTGGAAATGACCGATTCGACTCTCCCGGAAGAGACCCGTCCCGAAAGGATCCACCCGAAGACCGTGTTCTGAGCTGTCGATTCATCGCCCCCTCCAATTCGTCGTCCGTCGCTGAGGATTCGACCGTAGAGATCAGCGCCGATGATTAAATCAATCGGATCGGAACCGAACGGGTCAGGATCAGCGAGCTGCAACCCTCGAATATGCCTCCACTCCGTCGAACATGGCATGTGATCTGGTCTATATTGCATCAAGGACGAGAGAATGTGTGCCGTGGTGGTGTAGGCCGGCTCCATCTTTCCACAAGGACTGATTTGGATTATGGTGGTACCGCGAGTTTTTGTTCGCGTCCCATCAATCTCTGCGATCCAAAGGGGCGAAGAATTCCTGTTGACTCGGAGCAATTATGCTATTCGGTTTGATAGGAGAGTTGCAGCGGACCCTTGATTCAGTAACACTCGTATCGTAGTCTGGCCCTGTGGTGTGCTCAAACGGACGTGCGCCGTGGCGAGGAGCACAGAAGCGGTAGGCTGCGCCAATGTATGTGACGTCACAGGATGAGCGGTGCTGAGAGGTGAGCCCTCAACGGCGGGAGGATGTGCGTTTCTCGCACCATCAGCCTCACTTGTTTGGTGCAAGAGCGTGTGGTGCGTCCTTGCACACAGTCGACATCGGCGTTGGCTCAGACACTCGTCCGTCCGGTGACTCCCAGAGAGTTAAAGCACCGCCATAACGGGGCAACCGCGTCGAGTCGTTGACATGGAGATTGTACGAGGAACTTCGGACAATGATAGAGCGCATGATTAGCATGACACAGTGGGCACGCCGGCCTGCCGGTAGCGACAGGGTTATTTAGTCGTGCCTTTGACCTTTTTTTTTGTTGCGCTTGCTGGGCGGTCTTCCGAGAGCGCATGCGACACCACTGGTCGGGTTCTGATCGTCCCGGCTGACTCGAGTTCACGGTTGCGGTTCGGCACTAACGGTTTCATGGAATCCAATGCTCGGATGCGTGCCTCGAGAAACTTATAGAGCTCGTTGTAAGTGGGATAATCCACTGAGTTTCCGAGTCGAAGCTCCCACGCCTTTCACGTGCTCCGATCGAGATTTTGGGAGACGAGGAGGACTAGGATATCGTCCTAATAATCGACTGGACGTTCCAGATTCTTGAGTGCTTGAATTGCTGAGTTGGTGAGGTCTCGTAACTTTCGAAGTCCAACTGGATTCTCCGTGGTAAGCGCTGGAAGCTTGAATAAAGTGGTCAAGTGTTCCGTGATGAGCCGTCGTTTGTTTTCATAGCGGGACACTAAAATCTTCCAAGCCATATCAAAGTTAGCGTCGGTCAAGGCTAGGTGGCCTAAAGCGGTTAGCGCCTCCCCCTTTAAGGTAGACAACAAGTAGTGGAGGCGTTCGACATCGGAGAGTGTTCTATCCTGGTGGATAAGCGACCGAAATCTGTCCCTGTAACTTTCCCATTGGCGCGGCGTTCCATCAAAAGTTGGGAGATCAAGGCGCGGCAGATGAGAGGATGGTCGAACGGGGTCCTGTGAGACTTTGTGAATGGCGGAGGGCTGAGAGGTCTCGATCGTCCCCAACGTTTCCGCCATGAAGTCGGTAGCTTCATTATAATAGTCCTCACATTGGTAGAAGAGCTTGGAGGAAAAGTAGTTGCTATTGGCTTTTTGCGCTTCTGTTGCACTATTGAGCTTGATATCGAGTTCTTGACATTTAGTAAATGTTTCCTTGAGCGAGGCGAGGCGTTGGCGGACAACCGGTATCGTCCATTTGGCCTTACCTAATTTTTTAAGATTAGGCAACGCTCGATGAATGGTGTTCATAACGTGCTTTTGTTGAGCAAGCAGTCCCTCGATACTGGCCATTGTGCACAGGCGCAATTACTTCGACTCCGATCCGGCTCGAAGGACCAAAATGTTGCGGGGCGCACTCGTTTAATTGAGTACGCCGTGAAGGGCCAGTTCACCCTTATCTGAAAGATCGGATATGAAGTTGTCATTGCACGGGTCGTAAATCCGTGCCTTTGCGCCCTACGCCTCCGCGCGGGGAAAAGAGACGTCCCTTTCGGAACGCGATGTCACGACAAATGCGTAGTCGTAGGCTCGAAGATGATATCGAGGCGCTATCAAGTCGATCGTCCGCACGGAACTCAATAGGTTCAAGACGACCAAGTCACTCTACCGATGAAGTCCATGATGGACGTAGAATTGATCGCGCGGTGGCGATATAAGCAGCGATCAAGCTGCTTGAACGTCGAAGTCCGCACAGAACTTGGAAATATTCGCCCTTCGGTGTTTTTTCAAGGACGATAATAGAATCAGGTCTCATGCGGCCTATTCGGGTCGTAAATCCGAGCCGAGAAACCCGAGGAACAATCGTAACAGATACGTCCACGAGCGTTGGAATGAAACGATCTCTGTCGTTTTGGATGGCCTGCCCCTCCGGACTAAACGGCCTGCAAGCTGCCACGTTCCTGAGAAGCATGGAGATGCACAAGAGAAAGCGCTGAGCTCGTGTCACGCGAGAGGCGACTCAATTGCTCCGGGGCGACTAGCCAAGGCCTTGAGGACACTTGGACAGAGAGCTCAGAGTTCTCGAAGAAGCGACCACGTCGCTTTTGAACGCACCAAGAGCCTAGACGGATACTTGGCAAGAGAGAGTTCGCAAATCTCTCAAGGAGACGGCAACGCCGTTCCTAATAGCCGAGGTCTTCGACGGACGCTCGGAAAGAGAGTTACTCGCTCCACACGGAGGCAATCGAATTCGCTCCTGAATTGTGGCAACGAGGCGAACTCAAAGCTAAAGTCGATTCTCACCATAAAGCCTCAACCCAGCAGGGTATATTAGCACCGCAGTCAACTCAGCAGAGTGTAGAGTGCGTTGGTTTGAATCTCGATTATGCACAAAAACTACTCTAGGAAGGCCTAGAGAGAACGTCGGTAAAGACGGGCGTTACAAGTCGCACAGACCAGACACCAGATATTGCCACAATCGGCGTTGGGTCATGCGAAGGCGCCGCGCCGGCCGTTGCGCTGGGTGATATACCCGGCCGGCGGATTCTTGCCCGCGGGTCGCGGACTCGTGAGGCGTGCCTCGTAGCGGCGTCAGGGCGAGCTACTCGCTAAGCGCGGGCGACCGGCGGGACGATCACGCACTCGCCTGCGAGAGACCGTGCGCCTCGCCGATCGCGAGAACGCCGGCGCCGGGAAGCCAGACCGCCCGCCATGCAGGATCGGCTGCATTCCTGAACGGGCTTAAGGTGACAGTACGAGGGTAGTCCCAGAAGTACTTGACCTAAAAAAAACACAAAAAATTTGGGGAAAAATATCTTTATTACTCTACATAGTCTCCTTTTAGCTCAAGACACTTTTCCTGGCGATGTTCAATAGCTTCGATACCCTGTTTATAGTGGGAATCGTCGAACTCCTCAAAATAGCCATCAAGCCACTTTGGTCCATTGTTTTGACTGTCCTTTGTCTCAGGTATGATGTGATGGACCCATGTTTCATCCATGGTTATAAATCGACGCAAAACCCATGTTTCATCCATGATTATGAATCGACGCAAAACCCGTGTTTCATCCATGGTTATGAATCGACGCAAAAACTCGGCTTTATTGTTGCGAAACTTCGCCAAACGCTTGATTGAAACATCCTCACGACGCTGTTTTTGCTCCAATCGCGGCACCCATCTTGCGCACAGCTTTCTCATGTCCAAATTTTCAGTCAATATGCGATGTACGGCACTTTTTGAAATGCCTACCATGTCTGCTAACTCGTGCACTTTCAGTCGACGGTCATCCAATACCATTTTGTGGATTTTCTTCACCATTTCTGGCGTAGTCACTTCATTTGGTCGACCACTGCGATGTTCATCTTGGCAGCTCGTACGGCCTCGTTTAAACTCTACCCAATATTTTACTGTTGTAAACGAAAGAGCAGACTCCCCCAGAGTAGAATATAGCTCCGTTTTCATTCTACTATTGGTTCGACTGAGGCCTTTCAAATGAAAGTATTGTATCACATAACGATGACCAATTTTTTCCATGTTTACAAATTCACTGAGAGCATTCACTACTGATGGCTGCTAAACAAATATTAAACAACATAGTGTCGTCAAACTTTAAACTTAAGCTTTATAAGGTTGGTACTTTCTACCATAGTCATTCTTTTCAAACAACAACCGCTATCTATACTTCAGATCAGGTACTTCTGGGACTACCTTCGTATATGTTATTCCGCCAAAGCGTAAACAATATATTTTTTCATAGTGTTAAACATGTCGAATTTCGTGCCAAAAAGAGTATTTGCGGGGAATTTTACTGCATTACATTTTTCAAAAAAAATCTACAGCTGAAGGACATAGAATTTTTGTGAAGACTTACGGCGACTATGCTCTGTCGGAAACAACATGCAGAGATTGGTTTAGACGCTTTAAAAATAATGATTTTGATGTTGAAGATAAAGAACGCTCTGGCGCACCGAAAAAGTTTGAAAACGAAGAATTGGAAGCATTACTCGATGAAGACCCATGTTAGACGCAAAATGAACTTGTAGAATCATTAGGAGTTGATCACACAACAGTTGCCAAACGTTTAAAAGCATTAGGAATGATTCGAAAGCAAGTAAATTGGGTGCCGTACGAATTGAAGCCGAGAGACGTCGAACGGCGTTTTTTCACGTGTGAACAGCTGCTCCAACGGCAGAAAAGGAAAGATTTTTTGCATCGTATTGTGACTGGCGATGAAAAGTGAATATACTACAATAACCCGAAGCGTAGAAAAACGTGGGGTAAGCCTGGCCATGCATCAACATCGACGGCAAATATCCATGGTTCCAAGCTCATGCTCTGTATTTCGTGGGATCAGCTGGATGTAGTATATTATGAGCTCCTCAAACCCAACGAAACCATCACGGGAGATCATTATTGATTACAATTGATGCGTTTGAGCCGAACATTGAAGGAAAAACGGCCACAATACGAGGAGAGACACAACAAAGTAATTTTGCAGCATGACAACTCTTGGCTACATGTTGCAAAATTGGTCAAAACCTACTTGGAAACACTCAAATGGGAAGTCCTACTCTACCCGCCGCACAGTGTGTCGCATCGCCCGTTTTCATAGACAAAAGGCATTTTATGAAATATAAAACAGTAAATTTCTTTTTACAGAAATTAAAACTATAGAGTCTGAAGTATAAGAAAACATAAAGAACACGAATTTCTGATCAAATAGTGGCCTGAGAGTTCTAGAAACATAACCGCATAAAAAGAATTATTTTATGAGTAGAATTGTACATATATTAAAAGCTCATATTCTTAACATAACTAAATATTAGAGAGTTGAATTTATAAATTAAAAATTAACTATATACTGCTCTTTTAATAAACTAATAATGGTACTCGTATTGTTACACCGTGACCTCTCTTCCCCGGCGCGCGTCGTCCTCGCTCTCTCGCGATGGCCGCTCGCGAGCGCTCGCCGGCTTGCGGGCGTTGGGCGAGCTGGCTCGGACGCGCATCCTCCTCGCGTCGTTTTCGTTCGCTTCGTGCGATTGATCGGCGCGCCCCGTCGTCGGTGAACGCTCGGTCGTGCGTGTCGACAGTGGCGACTGGCTGGGAGAGGAAGGTTTTGTGTCTCGAATCTTTGCTCGTAATTCGTCCGATAAATTGCCGCCGGCTGCCTTACAGTTTATTATATTTTCTGTTGTACATTTATTCAGTCCGATAATAAGTTTATGTACATGGCGTAAAGATTGTTCTAAGGCGACTTATTCTAAGCACGGTTCTTGTGATTCTATGGCGCCGAGCGCCGCGCTCCGTTAGAGCCTCGCAATTTAAATATGTAAAGACGGACGGGCACTTATCGTCCGCTCAGGGCGGAAGCGTCTCCGAGTCGAACTTGATCCCTCGTTGATGACGAGACGTCGTCGAAACGAGCGAATCTTGACGAACACATTGATGCTAATCACAGGAATGGAACGACCGGTGGCCGGAACACAGATTATCCTAGGAATCCCTCGTTGGCGACGAAGACGTCGTCGAAACGAGAGGATCTTGACGAACACACTTCGGGTTGCGGTGATTCCGATAACTTTATTGATTGATTGCGGACCGATAGGTGAGTGTTCGGCTCTAGTAGCGAGTTCCCTAGCTGCCTGCGTCGGTCGGTATCGGAATTGAGGAACTCGCGCATTTACTGAACTTGCTCACTCGGACGTTCTCCTCGTCGGTCGTCTTCTTGTTCTCTCGACTTCCTTCGTTCGGTCTCCTGGGCTCGGTGCTTCCTTGTGAATCACTTACTCGTCTGCTCGTTCACTTTGTGCTGCTGGTCGAAGACGACTAGCCACAATCTCCCGATTTCGGCGAGAGCGCGGAATTTATACCTAATCTCTCGTAATCGGGGGGGTCGACTCACCCCCCAGATTCCGCGTAATCGCGCGCGATTCGCGTCCCGATAATTCGGCAGACCGTCTGGGGGGATTTTCCCGAACGCCTACGGCCGGTTTTTCGGGCCGCTTCGGCGGCTTGCCGCTGCCCGGATCGTCGGGCTAATTGAGGGGGGTCACGACTAGGTCCCTCGGGCGACGACGGCTCGACGGTCGCCGACCCGATAGTAACGGAGGAGGATCCGTCACAAGATTCTCCTTCGTTACAGTATGTTTCGATATTATTTATGCACGCACCATAATTCAAATTAGTGACAAAGTTCTTATAAAAGAACAGAAATATTGAGATAAATCACGTCCATTGTATTCCATTGTGTCCATTTTTATATTATATATAACATGAGTTATAAGTGTTATTTACATGAGAAGAATTGGACATACTGTGCAAAATGCGTATGCGCCTAAGCGATTTCGAA